AGATTGGCTATGCTAAACGGATCCGTTACAAGATTGCCCGCATTGAACGGATGGAACTAAAAGACGGTAAAGGCTATTTTCTATTATCCATCCGATAATCTACAATATTTATAGCTGAGAGTTTTATCGAATATGAATAAGCATTGACTTTCAAACTCGCAAGAAAGATAAATCAACTCTCCCTGCATTAAGCTGGGTTAACCACTTTCGCTGTAATAGGCATAAAGTTTACTGACAACATGAATAAGGCACAGTATACCAAACAGTGTTTTAAGGCAAGGTCCTCAAATGCCAATCAAATCCACGTTAACTTTAATCCTTGCACTTTAAAAAAAAGCAATTACCGATATTCATATGAGAATTGATAATCAGACATTCACACTTGGTAAAAGAAAATGACGTTGATGAGATTGCCTAAAATACAGTAAGGCTGCAGATCAGTAGAAAGTGTCTGCAAGCAAACAGCAATTTTTTCTAAAATCAAACAGTTATCCACGGAAACACGTTTCATCTATGAACTGACGAAGAAAAACGTCAATGAAGACCAAACAGAACTCTCAATTAAACAATAGCTTGATTAATGCTTACTTAGCATATCATAATTAATTCATAGCTTCGAGTAGAAAATTTCGCCTACTGCGACCTCCATTCTTAAAAACCATTTTTGATCAGGGCGGTTTCGCTTACTGCTCCCTCATTGTCAAGGGCGGAGCCATGATGGGGGCCCCGTGGAATTACTAGGCAAAAACCCGTAAATTTTACCATTTCGATTATTTAAACAATAAAAGAGAAACAACTAACATCACCTTGCTCAAGAAAAACATCTTGATTTTTGGTCAGAAATATTATCTTCTCCTTCACAACTGCCAACCTCATCTACTTTCTCCCTACGCCAGCCGTTGTGCGACACAGACATCTGACATAGTTTTTACAGACCTGTTGTGCCGCACAAGTATGCAAAAAATTGAACTTTGATTGGAGAGATTTTGTGCAATATTTGCATAAAAAAGAGCCCTGTATAGTTGTGTGGCATGTTCACGGTCAATGATAGTGCTTTAACATTTTTATCCTTCTTGATTTGAATCGTAGCACTGGGTGTAAAATCGACCGAGGTCGGTCCTGTGTTTATTGGGTAAAGAGAGTTGGATGAATTAATTGTGAGGATGAAAATAAAAATGAATGCTTACTTTCAACGACTGGAAATAAAAACACAATTCTAAAAATCTGACGGCCTTCCGTGCGATTTGTGCAACACCCTGTGTCCGCCCCTGCTTTTGTTAGCAACGCTTAGCTTAAAATCCATAAAGTTAGCTAGCATAAAGTTGATGATGTTTCCAGACACCGTACCCCCTGCTTGACAAAAGAACTTGCTATCAAACTCGCCAAGAGGAATCTGTTGAACATATGGAGACCCTGAAAATGAAAATAAGGTCATTTTTGGTAGGAGGGGGGAAGGGGAAGCTTTGACAGTAGATAATGGATGTAGTACACTTTACAACGTCGACGAGTCCTTCTGTGAAATCAAACGTACTAAAACATCAAAGCAATGAGAGTTTTTCACTAAAAACTCTTTTCCATTGACGTATTCAAGACAATTTGAATTGATCATTCATGTTAGAAACCTTTGTTTCAAAGATTTGAGAACACTTCTCTTGAGATCCATCGATGTCAGGTAATTTTGGTCCATTTATGCTAATTTCGTTGGAACATTTAGACACATCTAAAATGTCATATCTAGCTCACCTTCCAATTCATTAGCTTCTATATATTTTTTTATTTATTAAAAATGTATCTAGGCCAAGTTGACCTTCAACCTAATTACAACCTTAGCATAACAATAAAAGTTGATAGAATTACTTTTGCAACTGTCACAATACTGTCACACGTTTATATAAACTCAATTTGAAAAAGTACAATTTTTAATTACGAATTGACGAAAAAATTAAAATTACGTAATATTAAAACGTCATTTTACAGTAAAAATTAATATAATCAACTAATAATTAAAATATGGGGTTTGAACATCTTTGGTATTAGAATTGTTCCACTGTTCTCACAATCTTGTTTCAAAGCATTTATATAGAAAAGTGGCAACTAAAATGAGACATTTTAAGTCTTCTTGGCTTAATATCCAGATAAATTGATTCCAGCTTGTTAGCTGCTTTAAATTAAGGGCTAACAGTTCGAGTTCATTTAAGAGATAGCATCTTTTATCAGCAAAGTCCGGACAAACCATAAGTAAAAGAAATTCATCTCCTAAAACCCTTAAACCTGTCACTAAGCAGGAACTGCAATGTCGTTCTTCTCTAGGGATAGGGTTTTTACCAAAACGACCAGTTTCTACTTATAGATTATGAGCGCTTAGTCTTAACCGTGTGAGGCATCGTCTTTTGTTAAAGTCTTTGTAAATACTTCCACATTTATTGGTTCATTCATAAGAATTTAGTTAATTCATAGACATATACATATTTATATAGAAGTATGAGTGAGTGTTGATTCTTTCGTAGTAGAGTACCCAATATCTTTGCACGTAGAGCGTGATATATCTCCTAAAGTGTGAGGTATTCACGAAACAGACTTGTAAAGACGAAACTTGTAGTTTGACTTTTTTCAACTCAAAAATATACATATTTATGTAAATAAATATATTTATGTTTGCCGAGCAACAACAACAACAACGAAAAATCGACAAAAGCAGCAGCAACACCAAATTTGCAGTAAGAGTTTACTCATAAAAAAAGTTAAGGGCCAAAGAAATAAATTGTTCAAACACTCACATCACAGCAGAGATCTTGAAATAAAGGGAAATATAACCGACAAGACACAAAAGACTCCGCATGTAGACAGTCTAAAACATTAAGCATTCCTATCCTATCACCAGTGACGTAAAGGAGGCATCTGGGGCCCTCAAGGAAAACTGAGAGGGGCCTCTATTAACGGACAGCAAGGGACAGCAAGTTACTCCAATCCACTGCTGTAGACAAGATTAAACACAATAGCAAGATTTAAAAATGATCTTTTTTCTTGTTGACTAGTAGAAGCTTCAGTAGAAGAAATCCTAAAGCCTTTAGGAATGAGGTGAACTTGAGCGAGTCGTAAAAACATGGAGATAACAATAATTTGGGGATTGGGGGCCCCTTTTGACCGGGCGCAATTAGTTATCGAACTAAGGTGACCTAGGCTGCGTTACGCCACTGCATATGTCGTCATTCCGGCCAGGAACTTTGGCGAACAGCAATTGCAACTCAGCCGCTGCGTAGCAATTGCAACTCAGCCGCTGCGCAGGTGAGTTTAAAAAGACGACTCGCATAATTGCTTTCGTTTTTTCTTAATTGGCTTGGCAGTTCTACAGTTAAACTCCTAAACGTCTACAGCGTCTTTTGTCAGCAGGAGGCTAGTTTCGTTATCCGTTAAATCGTAATTAAGTGAACTTACCACAGTTAAGAGACAATTATCACAGAGAGCTGGGATTTAAGAGAACTTTTTCCTTGAAAATGTGCAGATTCTGCTGTCTTTTACTTAAGAAGGTTTTCTCCGACCAAGAGCACGTGTTCGTTTACGTGAATATGATGTCAAAAATGCAAAAAACCTAACGAAGACTTTGCCGATAATTTTGGGAAATTGGATTCTGTAAACTGGGCAAGGAAATAAGATTCCTAAAGGGGTCGTCCCGAAAAGCCTACGAACATTAATTCTTTTAGCAGATCATCGCCCACAACCTTGAACATCTGTCCTGACTGATGCAAATGGCTCCCAAGTTCCAAACCTGAATTACATTCTTTTTGAAACTTTTTAGAAACGTTTGATGCATGTGATGAATGCTAAATCAACTGAAACGGCTAAATAATAATGAATGGAATTCGATTACAAAAATTAGGGCTATTATTGCAACCATTTAGAAGTCTGGATACAGACTTGCTTCTATTGCACGTTGAATAAGAAGACAAAATAATTCTTATTGAATGGTAGGAAAAACTTAATTATGTCATTTCCAAATTACTTTGCTGTCGTTACTTTGGCAAATGCACCCCTGATGTCCTGAATGCCGAACTAATTTTAAAGCAAAACTCAGCGGTTTTATTCCAGGTGCTGCTTTCGAATAAATCCTCAGGCACAACTATCGCCGTGGTGGAGTCTGGTTCATCTTGTAACGATAAAGCAGTCATGGGATCATGAGTGAAAGACATGTCTCAGGGTTAAATATCTTTTGTTTATGTGGGCATCATATTACACAGAAGGCAATCATTTGCTTCAAAAGCAGCATGGAAAAGTTTTAAAAAGCGGTAATGCGGTAAAGCGGTAAAGCGGTAAAGCGGCAATTACTGAATCAGGCACAGTGCAGTATAAGCACGATACTGTAGTTTTGTAGTAATGTATGGTAAGTTTTGACGAGTTTAAAAAAGTATAGCAGAGAAGTACCACAAGCATGATCTTTGGGCCCTGTTAAACTATGTTTCATTTCAAATGATGCTAATGTTTCAAATAATGCTAATGTGCCATTTGACAATACTCAGTTATAAAAAGTAATAAATTTTCTATAAGCATTGGAATTAGTAAACCCAGAACCAAGAACACTACTTTTGAGTTAAAAAGACTTTTGCAAGAAAGCGAATCAAAATCGTCTTGCTCTTGGAGACATTAAGAATCTATAAGATATTTGCAAAACAAAAGCTACCTAAATCAGGCTTCTCTTCTGTCGCGGTTCAGATATTATTTCTAGGTTGGGTAACTTTGGAAAAATATCTTGATATAACAGTATAAACCATAGATGACGTAGAAAAACCATACTAAAGGCACAACTCATTATTGAAGTAACAGAATTCTGTAAGGAAACCAAGAACGCAAAAGGAAGAAGCAAAATCAGGAAAAAAAATGAAAGAGCATTTTCGGAATGTAGATGTTACAAGAGAAAGAAAATAGCGAAGAAAGAATAAGAGCGACTGAGCCCGAGTAGTAAGAAGAAAGCAGATGGCAAAGAAACAAAAACTACGAAGATCAGCTTTTATCTCAAAATCTTTGCATTTATCTCAAAATACAATGACGACTTTTAGAATTACCATGACTAACTGTAAAGGTACATAGCTCTATTTTCAAGGTAGGGGACTACATACAGTCATACCATTAGAATTTAAATCTTGGATCTTACATTGCATTCCAACTCCATATTTCCTTCGCTTAACAAGGATCTGAAGATGATCCTTACACACTAATAGCGTATAATTGTGATTTATGTTACCTATAAATGTCGGTAGTTATACCTTCTAAGTACATCTAAGAAATAGGAATCACGAGAGTTAATTGAAATTGTTGGTTCTTTCTAATCATCCACAAATCAAACTCCAAAAAGTCACACTACATGGATTCTGCTCTAAAAATTGAATACCTTTCTATAATCCTTCACTGCCGTTTCTCCCCTTGTCTCTCTAATGTAATCCAAAATTTCCTAAAATACGAACAACACAAAGCTTTAAAAGGTAATCTGGCAAAAAGAAAAATCATTTCTTCGACAAAGTAAGAAAGGATTTTCGAAATTTGAACTCTCGTGAAAATGGCTCTTACAGCACAGTGAAGCTCTAAGCAACGTAAACACACATAGCGATGCACAAAAATCTTGAAAGAGCATCCATATCATTTCTAACTTTAAAAGTGCCAAATCGTCTTGATAATATAAAGCCAATTATTTGAAGCATACAGAAAATGAACACGAATTATATTAAACATATAACAAAAGAAGAAAGGACAAAAGAAAGGACTATATAACAATTTATTTAAAGTGTTCAATGGGGCAATTTAAGAAACAAACATCGGTAAATAACAATCAAAGATCATTACAGCGGAACTCAGACGATTACTTATAGCAATTTGAAAGCACTTTGACTTTTAATGAATGACTTAGAATTTAAAGGGCATATTTCGCATTAGCAGTTGGCTAATAAAACAAAAGCGTTCGATTCCATGCTTTGTACTTAACAAAAGAGATAATTGTATTGCATTAGCCAATCATGTTCACGACACATGCCCTTTTAACCAGCTTTCTGGTTTATTTACGAACAGTCTCTGGGCATTAGGTGAATAAAACGAATCGCAGATGTATGACACTGAGTAAAAAAACCTCCATTTTAGTTAACTGAATCCCACTTTGCAAATGTCTGATATTTGCAACACTTATCACAACTATCATATAATCAAAACATATAAGCAGTATGTGGCAAACTAACCAGAATTTGATATTTAGTATAATCTTGTCGTTTTTCTTTTCCCCATTCCAGAAGCAACTTCTTCTCAATTTCCAATTCAAAGCGCTGCTCGGAGGTCAGCGGTATCTTATCGCTGCAAGAAATGAAATATAAAAATCTCTCTTACACTCTAAAGCCATGGAATTGTTGTGTTGTCAAGTGGCATATAAAATGTGTGTTCACAGGGTGTCTGTTTGGGCAAATAATCACTACTGAGTGTCGCGTTGGTACTCTCTGCATTAGACTTGAATTATTTCACCAAGGAAGATTAAGATTGGCAAGGATCATTCTATGCAGGAGATGTTCGACAAGCTTCAATTTTGAGGGTAATGGAGATCGATGCATGAAAATATCGTAGCAATCAAGCATACTCTGCCATTAAAAAAACGAAAAAATTAAGCAACCAAAGATATCTGAGTAACAGAAATAACATTTTAGCTAGGCTCGAAAGTAAATAACGCCGAAAATAATGAAAGATAAAGAAGCCAATAGAGTAAATTTTCTTCCACCTAACAGTGGAGCCAAGGCCCAAAAAGCAAAGCAAAGCAAACATCAGAAATCGTTTGCTGTCGGCAATATCACTAAAATTTCAGCCACTACTTACAGCTTAACATTGACGAAGGAAGCTTTCAAAATCAGAGCGTGGTAACTTCATGTGATCAATTGTATTGCAGCAATACATGACCAAGCATTAATGGGTACACCATCAGCATTATTCCATAGAAACTATTTTCATGAGGTATACCATCTCTTTTTACCACCATACAATACAATGCCTTAAGACGGTTAAGTCAAACAAGCAAAGGTGCAACAAAATACTTACTTAATAATACTTGGTTTTACTTTCATCATATGTCCAAGTGTGCTAGCTGTCCATAGTCGAGGGTCGCTATCTCTAAGTTTTCTAGCCTCATCCTCCTACAATGAGATAAAAAGCAGACCATGATTCAAAGATAAAGCCCTGCTTACTGATCAGAACCACTCTTTTGACAATCTGAAGAAAGGGAATAGATTATATGAACAAACCTTACATTCTAAACATTGACTCTCTCTATAAGAGCTATTATTCCCCATGACGCCAATCTTCTCCAATTTCCAAAGTTGTCAAAGCAACAAAATGAAATGAAACTGAGGCTGTATTTGTTAGAACATAAAGGTTACACATCAGCATGCTGAAAAAAGTTTGAAAAACATGATACATAAAGTGCTACCTGAGCCATTGTCATTTCATCACTATAAAGACTGACAACATTGGGCTCCCCAAACCAAGATGGTCTTTCCCATGATAACTGAAAAAAAATTTTGATATCACAAACACTTCCTTAAAAGTTACAAAGCATAAGGCTTCATTAATCTGTTGACGAACTTTTCAATTTCATTAAAAACTGCAACATTGTACATCCTATGGAATAATCTTATAAAGATTTGTCACAATGGCATAAAAATGTTATAAACCAAACAAATATCTTAGAATTATTGCTTGAGTTGAAGCCAACTCAAACTTCTTCATGATGCCTAGGGCCATTTTCTTACCCTTGTTTTCTCTTTTGGATAATTTGGTACAGGGTGATAGCACACAACTGTATTTTCATCTCTAGAAAGGAAAACCTCTGGCTGTAGCCTAAAAAAACAAACATAAATATATTATTAAACATATGATAACATATGATTTTTTTTTAATCTAATCAATATAAAACTGAAATGGACATGTATCCAAATATAACTAAAAACAACTATAACACAACATATGCATATACTACAACACTTAATATTGTATAATTCTTAATACTAAATATACATATACAAAAAAATCCTCAAGCCTGTTTCACATTGGATGCCATAGGAACATATATATTAAGTAAGCTTGTCAAGGAAAGAGGTTTTCTATCAAAAAGAAACATTGAATTGTACTATAAAACACATATAACAGAGATAAAAATTGTATCAATTCAACAAAGGGAAAATAGTGGAATTTCCACGCATGAAGGGTTAAGGCTGGCAATTTTTAAAATGGCTGACATCTTTTGTTTAGGTCCCATAATCCTAGAAAAAGGGTTACCAAAGTAAAAGATAGATTAAGCCACAGCAACATCTAACAAGACTAAAGTATCACCTATTTACTGTTTCTTTTTCTTTTGGCAAATTTCTTATTCTTGAAGATGTAAACAAACTGAGATCCTTTTCTTGTTTTTCAAGTCGCATTTCAGCTTTGATTGTCTCCTCACTTTTTGGCTTTCTTAGTTTTGAAACAAATTCTTTTCTATCAATAGATGCCTTTCTCCAAGCTGGAATACCAACTGTTCTTGGGCTCTGCCTTTTATCAAGAGATATTGATGTGTGGAATGTTTTTCTTATACCATGGACTAAGTTGCATCCTTTAGATAAAAAGCACAACATGTAAAAAAAGCATCAATGCTTGATAAGAATCCATACACATTTTCTGGCATTTTATGCATTTGAGAGCTAGATGAAAATAGTTGAAAACAAGAAGAGTTTGTGCTAGTGCTCATTAAAAATTCTTTGTGGAGAGTTAACGCAGAAAAATTGTGTAATTTTCAATGTCAACTATTCATAAAAAATACATCATTAAAAAATTGATTCTAGCAATATCAGGCCTTCCCCAGAAAGGCATGTGATCGATAAGGTGAGAAAAAAACAGGAATTTGTGTTTCACCAGTCTTGTCCACCATACTGGGTCATTGTAATAATTTTGAAGAGCTGTTGTGACAACAATTGTATGAAATAAAACATGGACCAAATTACCATGGCATCAAGCAGGGGCGGCTTACAGCGTTATTAGTGTTATTAGTCTAATAACAGTTTCCCAAAGCTATAGGCTTGTAATGGCCTTCATTATTATATTTTCATACACAATGATTTGGATTTGTGCTCAAGGCTCTGCATGTCAATAGACTTTTATTGAAATTCTTTCGCCTTCAATTTCCCTTTGAAAATGTCAACAATGGCCCTTGCTAACATCCTCGTTATTAGGATTGTGTGACATATTTGTCATAGAAAACAGGGCATAAAGCCAGTGTAGTTTACTTGCATGTTATTAGCCTCCTTGGTCTAATAATGCATTTCGGGAAATGCACCTTACTTCGTAAAACAAAATCGCAAACAATATAACTACCACAATTCAAACTGGTTCTGTGCACTGGTTTGTTTCTCAAGTTTTTTTCCGTTGGTAAAAGTCTAACAATTAACATTTCTTTCTAGGATGGCCTACAGGAAGACTTCGATTCTCTAATAAAGATTGTTACAGTGTTAACGAGACATTCCCATGGCTTTGCGGGGAAGAAAAAAAAATACTTATTTTCGTGCCCAGGTCTTGTGATGGGAGATTTTCAGAAGGTAAAATTATCAAGTCTTTTTAAAAGTATTTTTAGAGCTCCAGGATGGTCTGTTCTTTCTGTCTTTGATGGCCCCATTATTAGAAAGCCATTTCTAATAACGCAGTAGCTGGGGCCATGTTGATAAAACCTATGAGGCATCAAAGGTAAGCCGTGCCCTTAGATCGCATGTTTGTAGCAGCCCATCCCTGTGCTGGCAATCAAGGCTCTGTTTTTGAGGTTGGCCTGGAATGAATAGGGGATTGTAGTTTTGAATTAATTTTTATGGCTATCAAAACCACCGCTATACCTATGCCCCAAGTCTACATTATTTTCCTTTTTCCACAAGAAAACAGACTCAACATATCAGGTGTTTAAAAGCTGAAATTCCCTGCCAAAAACGCGAGTAAGGGGGGGGGGGCCCTCCATGCCTACATTGCTTGACTGACTAATAACAGTTTATTTCTGGTGCCAGCCGCCCCTGGTGGTATCAAGGCTAGAAGCAGTCCGGTAAATTTCATTCTTACCTATAGGGCATCAGAAACCATTATTATACAATAATTTGGATTCATTTTCTAGTCTATTGCTCATAAAAACTAACTCACTTTTTTTACCATAGACCTATGTTGGCATGCACATGATTCTAAAATACCATAATGTCAAAGACAGCATTTTTTTGAAAAATATTAGGAGTGAACTTGACAAACTCCGCATACTGAGCATCTACATACTGAGCAGTATGGTAAGAAAGCGTAAAAGTTTAAGAGCAATTTATTCAAACATTGGCCAATCAAAAAAACTGGTAGCATCCCATAAAGCTCATCATATTGTTTACAGTACAAGGAGAATCCTTCTATCCAATAAAAAAATTGCCTTCATACCAACCAAAAGAGTCATTGCTTTCCCTTGTTAGTGCTTAGCTATAGGCTCTTGAGCCTTTCCTTAGCATTACCAACTAAAAAAATTAATGAGAGCAAGTTTTGTGAGTCTTCTCAAGAAATACAGTAGCTCATGATTTTTTTCATGTGACTTTCAGCATAATCAAAACCAATTAATGTCTTTTAGACCTACTTAAAGGAGAACTGACACGCAAAAATAACTTTGGCTTATTCGATGCAAAATTTGTCGCTTATTTCAAATCTGGAAAAAGTTTTCTTCTTAGATTCGCCATTTTTCTGATATTTGCACTTTTATCCGTCAAATACGTCACAGCCAGGACTCGGGAATTTCCCGAAGCGGAAACAAGATTATCGCCAGGAGTTGTTAAAATTCTCGGTTGACGTCACAAGTGACATGTTAACAATGCCGTTGTAAAGGCTTTCACCGCAACGGTGAAAGTACAAGTGAAGTTTCGTGTTTTATTGAAAAAAGTCCGCGGTGAAAAGACAAAAAATTGTCAGGCATTTCATTTATAAGTATATAGAAGCTAGAAAATCCCAGCTACATGTCTGCTAAGACGCTTATATCCACATAAAATTTATTTTCATGCCATGATATCTTCGAACCAGCATGCTTTGAAACATTGAAAGGACCTCTAAGCTTGTGAAAAAAGGAGTCGACTTTGTTTGAAAACTGATACCGTTTCTTCAAAGTTTTTATTTTTACAATTACAAAAAAATCGCAACATGGGGGGTGGGGGGAGGGGGTTGAAGCAGTAGCCAAAAGACAAACGAAATCTAGTGGAGACAGGGGTAAAAGCGATCCTGCAACCTGCTTTGGGTGCAGAAATATGAATTCAAGAAAAAACCTTGGTTGATGGGAGCTGCGAGTGTGACTAAATAATAATTTCACTGAACTTGATTATTGTATTTTAACAGAGGTTGAGATACTAGGGAATAACCTAGTCTTGCAAAAAGCCCATCCCCCACCCAAGTCAAAATTGCTTGCAAAAGAATATAATGCGCCGGTTGATATTCCTATGACAGCTAAACAGCATTTTCTTCGACTAAGAAATCAAGTTCTTTGACTAAGAGCTGAGAGCCTATTTCGTAAATCCAGATCTTTCGACTGCCAGGTAACTTATCAGTTCCCGAAACCCTTCACGCCGGGTGAAAATGGAATAAAATCCGCACAAGTCGACTTTTAACCCGCCTTTACTATTCAATATCACTATACAGTTAACGCGTTTAAAACATTGAAAAACAATCATAGAATGTTATATTAACAATTAATAACTTGCAGTTCCGTTTAGGGCATCATGGGCATTTTAGCCAATTTAGGCCATACAGACAAAGCAGTCTGGCCAAAGACGCCTCAATCTGAAATAAAATTCTAGTTTTACGATACCTGATCTCATTTAGATTGTAGCAATAGCATTATTTTTAATAGAAATCCCATATCAGTTTGTACTTCCAGTCTGTTCTTTGTTTACAATATCGTCACTGTTGAGCCATGGGACGACTGTCTGCCCAAGCGGCAGCACTGGTTGGTAGCAAAAACTCAGACGGCTGAAACTCTTCATTTGTTTCGAAATCAGTGTAATAAAACTCCGATTCAGAGTCCCAAACTATTGAAAAAGTCAATTATGTGTCAAAAATGCAAAATTAGCTCCTTTCACATGCACAAAATAAGCGTTTGTCCGCAGCATTTTGTTAAAGGTTTCTATAGAGAAACACAATGCGTGCTGAGAAAATGTCACTTGTGACGTCAAAGATGATCGCCCACTCGTGACGATTTTCGCCTCGAGTCTCAAGTTGTTGGAACAACTTTCAGACAAAAACAAAATTTGGCTGGCGAAAATGACTTTTTAACTTACTGATAATAATGTTTTGAGAAACCCTTCCAAAATAAACCAGAACATCAAAATGCTGCAAAAATTCTGCACTTTTTTCCATTATCATTTTTTGTTAAAATGATTAACCTTTGCGCTATAAGCCTTACGCAAATCAACTGATGTCAAATAAGCAGAGAACAGCAAAGTCCTATAAAACCTGGTAATTTTTTACAAACTGGTTCTTGAGACACAAATATTTTTGAATAAAGAGCAGTACAATGTGTTTACTTTCAGTTGGTAAAAATGTTAACAGTTAACAGTAAACAGAAAAATGTTAACAGAAAACAGTTGGGAAAAATGTTTGCATGGAGCTGCCACTGATCGATTATAAAACATTAATGACATTTGGTAACATTTTATCAGATCAAAAATTTTCTTGGAAAGCAGACATATCATTCAGTGCAGGGCCATAAAGCCATATTATTTCTTTACCGCTGCAAGTCTTGCTGAAATTGGTTGATACGAGGGTACATTCACAATTCTTTATCATTTTCCTTGCAGTATTTATTGACACCTTTAAAAGTTTATGAACATTTTTTGCAATTTTGCGTAATGATGCAAATAAGTTTTGATGCAAATTTGATTAGAGCAGAACGCTCAGACGTTGGTGTCCCGAGAGCTGATCTTGCTCTTTTTTAACAGTGAAAAATTTTTTAGACTTCTTGTTTTTCAAATCTCTTTGCATATCTCGAAAGCGACACAGTCTTTAGGCATCTAAACCAGACTGGAAACTTTGCTTCTTGTGCGGACAAGTTTACTTTGAAAATTTGAGACTGCGCGCCTGAAATCATACACTCTTAGTTATCTTTATTGTTAATGGTATTGTCTATTAAATGCTATTGTCTAGGGATCTAGGGGATTTTGCACGGCCAATATGCAAAAGCGCGCAGATGTGTGCGCAGGCAATATATTGCGGGCGCGCAACAAAGTTTCAAATCTGGCATCTAATGATACTAGGAATTTAATGATAACTTTTCCCCATCATTGTGATAAAACATTATTTCTAGACACTGCTCAAAAGTCAATTCTTTTGTTTCGGTTGCTACCGTCTTGAGGAAAAACCTTCACAGACTTTGCTTGCATATCGATAAGATTATTTTTTGAAGAATAAATAGATCAAAGGCCAAAAAAACTTCCAAGAAAAAATTCGAGGAAATTGACAAAAAAGTTTTCATGAAGACTGACTTTGAAATTTGTAAACAAATTTCTCTAACAACAGATTCGCAACCGAATTCTAAACTATCCGAATACTTTCGTGAGGGGAAGTGTATTGTAATTAAAATTAATACTTATTTTTTCTGAAAAAGATTTAGAGTTTGACATAAATAGAAACAAATTCAAGTTTACCAGCAGTCACCAGGATTCTACCTTCTACTCCATTCCACAATGAACCAGAAAAGCGCTTGGATATGTTATTGAGCAACAGACGTTCCATCTTCAATAAATGTGTCAAATATGAAGGAGTCGCCATTTTCTTCAACAACCATTAGACCACGGTCTCTTTCTGGAGAGCCACATTAGGCAACCTCGGTTTGATTTACATTGTGTTGTCAAAGTAACAGCCTCTCTTTCATAGAAGCAATTGTTTTTGAATGGCGGCGGCAAATTTGTTCTTCCTCATTAATTTTTTATAACAAGAACAAGAAAGAAATTTGCATAATGCAGAATCTCTTTCAAATCGTAAATAATAAATTCGATTGTTGTCAGTGGTTACAGGATTCCGACTTCTTCGCCTCATAAACTCCTACACAGTTTCCAATCCTGATTCAAGAAAGTTGTTTTGTTCACAAAATACTCTAGAGGAAAAGACAAAAACATCGTACCGCACGTTGTTTTGAAGTCAAAAACCTTCCTAATTTTGCCCCGGCTGTGCGAGTATTGCACAGGATGTCAAAGCTCTTCTAATAAGACGTTGGTGCTTCGCTCAATAACCTTTAACTGTGACAGATACATGCACGCGGGAGTAGATTTGACCTTGCACCAGGACATTTCCTAATTCGTTTTGCAGGTGATCAGATACCAAAGCATTTGACTTGATTGCAAAACACAGCACAGATCATCTTCACGAACCAAAAAGAGGAAGTTCGTTCAGAAAGATGTTCGAATTTGTTGGTCGCTGTTTTCACAGTAATATATGGGGATTCTGTTCGAGGAAATCAAAATATGTTGGATTTAGAGACGAAGAACGCCGCCAGTAAGAATACTCAAGTTATTTTATTCTTTGCAACATTGGGTATGGTATGGTGAATACTTTAGTTATGATGGATGGTATGAGCAAGAATTCTGACAAAAGTGTTAAGCTATTTATTACAAACATAGCCACGGAAACCAAAGTTGCATAGTCGGTCATACTTAATCAAAACAAAAAGCAATAATTTACATAAGTCCAAATGAAATCCTTGCGGTGGTGAAGAGAACTCCATATCTTCTTGGGCTTTTCAAGATACCGTTTGTCTGACAAGCAACTGTTGCTGACTTGCAAGAGACTTGGTGCTCTACATGTGTATTACTTTGATGTAAGTTGGTTTGCATTTTAATCAATATTTCAACTTTAATATCTCTTTATCATACTTCAAAGGAAACAAGTGAGCCTTGATCCTCGATTAGACCCTGCTTGGGATGCAGATGTAGATGCCCTCAATGGTATGGCTTTTGCTTTTTTACTTATTGTATTTGTTTCACGTCCTAATAAGTGTTGTTTAGCTTAAGAATAATGATAAATTGTTCAGGCTTCTCACTGAAATACAAACAAGTGTATTCTTGTAGATGGTTTACTTTCAGGATGGAACAGTTTTTAGGGTCGCAGACCACAGGTCCACCCAGCCTTCACTTAGAGTGTGGATCTAGTCACCAGCTTCCAGGCATAGGAATCATAAGGTGTGGTCACACAGGAACAAGGATACTGCTCAATAAGCGTAGCTTCTCAGTGCCCCAAAACTATAGATTCAGATACGTAGAAACAAATATCAATTACTGATACAAATTCAAAAAAATATCCTTTGCAGGGTAGACTTAAGGTCACATTTTTATTTGATTTTCATCAAAACAGATATAAATGTTTCCTATTTGATTCATTTTGAAAGACAATGAGAAAAATGAAAAGGGAACCAAATAAAAAAAGAAAGAAGGAAGAGGCATATAGACAGCAAGAACAGCAAAAATTGATTTCACTTCATTCTAGCTTAAAAGCAGTTAAGAAAAGGGACCCCAATATTACAATACCACCTTGTAACATTCTTGTTCAAAATTCAGTTTAGCGAAAACGGAACAGTCATGCCACCAATTGTCTTTTCAGATTAAGCTCTCATATTTTTCATAGGTAGATAATAAACACTTCCTACTTGCTGACAGGATATGTAATTATTAAAGTTTCACCTTTTTTGTCATCTTACAAGCTTGTACTTGTATTAAAGTAAACATCTATGTATGATACTATGACAACTGTTTCTGTTTTGTGTTTTGTTGAAACATACAGAAATGAAAATTATGACAAGGAATAATTTATTCTTAATTAGAAATGGAGTACAACTTAGTTGCTGAGCAACCAAAAGGAATCAAATTAGAACTACATGATCCAGATACAATAGAATCACCAAGGTATGCTTTGCTAGAAACCATTTTCAATGCAAAATTGAGGTTATTAAACCATTTTTAATGCAAAGCTGTGTTTAAGACAAACAATAAATTTATGGATTTTAAAACCTGTAAACCTTAATGACGATGACGTAACATAATATTTGAAACATTGCAGCCTGAGAGCCTTTTGAATATAAAAATTAACTCTTGTGACATTGGTGATTTAGGTTCTTAGAAGATCCTTATTCCAAAAAAAATAATTTCACAAATAGCATACAAGTTTTTTAACTTATTATGTCTCTGGAAATAGTTTCAAGAAAATGCACACAAAGAAATTAAAAATTGATGAGAAATTAAAAGAATCAAAAGATAGAAAAGAATCGCCAGTTAAAACGTGGTGTGATAAAAAGCATGTTAAGGGAGCTTTAGACGTGTGAGCAGAGAGAGGCACTGGATGCTTCATGAGGTGACAGGAGCAGAAACAATAGTAAGGGCACCTCAGAGTGTCAAGTTTGCTTCCAAAACAAATGGGGAATAGTCTTTTAGCTCATTGCAAAGCCTTAGGGGTTGTAGATGATGGCCCTGTGGAAGTAGAGAAATTTTGTGTTGCTCCACCCAACCATCAAGGGAGGCTGGACTCTACTCTATATTCGGCAAGAACAAAAAGTTGTTCTGATGACCATAAACATGGTGTGATATAACGTTGGAACTGTTGTTGTTGTTGCCGACACCAGCAGTGATATAATTCTACTATTGTTGCTTCTAATAAGAAACAACTCTTTTCAAAAAAGCCTCAAAAAGCTTGTTACTGAAATTTTAGATTGCACCAGGGCTCCCGTAAGGATCTCATAAGGAACTTAAATCGCTTAAAATCTAATGACTTTAAGAAGCTTTCAATTCCAGCTGCTAAGAATGTGTGCATTCTAGCACTGCTTACGAAACTCAAGCCAAGGCTTCAAGAAATTTTTAAAGGATTTTCAACTAGCTGGGATTTAAAAGGGCCCATTAGAATGTCCTACAAGTCATTATGTTGAAAGCATCAAATATGAACACAGTGCTGCATGAAAACTTCTTGATTCAAAAAACGTCTTGAATTAAAGATCTTTAATCCCTTGACTGATATATTGAAAATTCGGAGACATCGTCGAAGGCAAACTGAAATCTCTTTAGCATTATTGCAAAGGTCAAGAAAAAAAGGATTAATGATAATTTTTTTTGGTCAAATTGCTTTGCAAATCGATTTCAGTTTTCAACAACACGGAAAATATTGACTATTCTCTTGCATATAGGTATCAAAGACAATTTTAAACCTAGATTTCATTAGCTTTTAAATATTAACATGAGTTGATATTGCTTGGAAGTCTATTTCTTGGAAAGCAACTTTGCTGCCCCCATGCCACCCCGCACCACTAGGGTGACATGGGCAGCTGCCCCCACAGCCAGAGCTGATGCCAATGGGGGCATGGGAGGGTGTGTCACCCCCTGTAAGGCTGCTGGTGTCAGCCATGCCCACCGCCCTTGTGGATCCAGTTCCCCTGGCTATGAGAGATGTGCATGTGTGATCGCATGCCCAATATTACCTGGACATGGATTTTTGATAAGATGTTTGTCTCTTTTCATTAGCCGCTCAAGCTTGAATGATTTTCTAGAATATCAGATATTATTCTATCAACTCTTGATTTACAGAGAAAAGGAATCTGATGAAGAAGAGAAGACTCCTAGCAAAGCTGACTGGGGTGATAAACTAACACCACATGCCTTGGACATAGTCAATCAGAATGAAATGTCAGACTTGATTCCTGAAGATAAATCTGACAGTGCTTCAAGTTCATAGCATGAATTTATTCAACTATGGTAAACATTTATTTAACACAACACATAAAAACTAAGATTTATTAATTTTAATCCAGATAATTATTCTAAAGGTAAAGCAACACAAAGTCAATTTTTGCACCAATTGTTTCATAAGCTGTTTGGTTTTTGTTTTGTATGGACCTGGTTTTCTGATGAAACCAAATTAATTTTAGAGTTTCTCAAATAGATTTTCCATTTAATCACAATTTTTTGCCAATTTAAATTACTGATTTTGCGTGTTGCCAATTTGCTGTTGATAAAAGAGTCAACGTTAAAAATTGAATTCTGAAGATCATACACTGTTTCAATTACCTTACATTACATTAAAAGGAATATTTTTGAATTACAAAAAAGTTCAACAAGATACAAGTATTATAACTTAACTTTTTAAGGTAATAAAAACATTCAGAAGCATATATGCTTTCCACACATTATATTAACTTTCCAAGTCAACTTTAGAAATTTTGCATTAAAGTTTAATGAATTTTTTTTGTACTATTCATTCACTTTAAATTTGGAATGGATTGTAAATAATTAATTAGTCTGGGTTTTGCAAATGTATAAATTATCTATAAATATGCTGGAGCAGTATGGCATTCTTCATTAGAGCTAGTTTACATGTGAGTCAATGCATCATTCTGTGATTAAACAAAGGACTGCTGTTAAAGAATTCGCCATTCTTTGAATTAAGCTTGCTGTCCTATTAGACTGAACCAAAATCATCATTAAGATTCATTTTAAAGCTTACAAGTTGTGTTCTTACATAAAAACTTCCAACTTAACAAATGTGTTAGACCATAGTTACATATTGCATCATTGAACTGTGTTTCTGTATTATAAAAAAGTTTTTATATGCATCAATAACAGAATCATACTCAAATTCTCAGCAGAATAAGTATAATGGTAAGTTTTGAAAACAATCACTGCAAAAAGTGTTGAATAATTAGATAAAGTTACAATGTTGCCTTTATCAATGGTTGTAGTACCCTGGAAAAAATTACTTTTGGAGGCATCTTTTACGAGTAGTGAAAATGAAGCAAGGAAAGATTCATTGAAATTTCACTAAAAAATTAAACTGTTAACTTGCAACAACAATGACTTTTTTATGTTCATCACTTAGAATTTTGCTGCTAAGATCTTCTTTTCCACTGAAATCTCCAGAAGACAAGATTTTACTACCCACGCTTTCAGTTTCACTAATGGCAATGCTTGCGTTAATAGAGTCTTTGGTAAAATCTTCAACACTAACTGTAGAGTTACTATTGATGTCACTGAACAAATCTTTCTCACCTACTGTAAGACTGGTATGTTGTTCTTTAACATCCTTGTTGCCAAATGATGTAATAGAAATTTCTGGTCCAGTCCTGGCTTCACTTGCACTGTTGCAATCACTATCCTTTCTCTTATCATCAGTTTTCTTCAGCATTTCACTAAAAGTGCATTGATTGAATGATCTTTTTAGTGGTATTCTATCACTGTCTACAGATCTAGTAATTTTCATCCATCTCTTTGGAGGCCATACTATTCTTGTAGCAATTCCATTCACAAGTCCAAGTGAAACCTACAACATAAGAGAACTTAAGATACACAACTCCTGTGAATAATAATAAAGAAATTAAATTTGTGAGGATTTTGCAAAATCTAAAGGTGAAAATAAAATTTAAAGTTTAAAGATATAGACACATGCACAAGGCCTTTGTGAAGAAAAACAGAGAAGAAAAGTCAAAGGCAGTAAGCACCAGACTCTATATTGATAAAAAATTCAAAATTGCTCAACAATAAACTATTTGAAAAAATATTCTCATTTGTCTATATATTTGATTTAAATTGTTTCAAAAGTGAAACAATTTATGAAACAGATAGTCAGAAGAATCGTTAGACATACTGGTCCAAATTTATTTGAATCAAAACTTTTTCCTCTGTTATCACCCTCTAGCCAACAATGGCCTTTTGGAATAGAGACATAGCGTTTCTTGTACCCAAGAGTTCTGCAATGATAGAATGCATCAACAACATAATTTCTAAAAACATTTACTACCAAGTTGTTTTAGTCACATACCATACAAATGCACCAACAAAAGCAACATGACTGACAGAAAAGCAACACATTTGATTACTTTACCATAATTTTGATAGGCCCCTTCAAATAATCCCCCTCTCTTATACATCAATTTTTGAATAAGCTGTCAGATTTTGAAAAGCTGCCAACTGTTAAAAATTCTCAACATTGATTTTTAATTAGATCTCTTATATGGTTGCATTATTTGACTCAGGAAAAAACAAAAGATGCAAAACCAATCACTGGCAAAAACTAAGGAGAGATTCTTTGTTTGGCATGATTGGTTGTCTGATTTTAGTCTGCCCATGCCTTTAGATTAAGCCACATTTGCATAGATTCTGTGACAATAATTTAAAAGCTTTTTAATCCAGTTTATCATTTATCATATTGTGTAAGCCCCCTCTTGACAAAGCCCTCTCTCAAATAATATCCCCTCTTCAGCATCAACCATTGAATAACTTTTTGGTATTTATATTCTCTCCAAGGCATTAACACTTACTTGACTACGTCACCCTCTAAACCAATGACTCTTTTAATAAGTTTGACATCTGGATCTGATGGCGACCTTCAAGACAAGCAGATAACAAAAACTTTACAACACAACATCTCAGAATAGGAAGAGGTTGCTTTCAGATGTTACTTTTAGTTTACCCTTATCTAGCATTGGAAGAACTTATCACATATAGACAGGTTATAAAGCAGGTACCACTCTGGACTTGATAACATCTTTGAATGCATAAAACAAATAAGGTAGCTTAAATAATATATAGGCAGTACCCATGTTTACTTACGTCAAAGAAACAACATCTCCTCTTCTAATATTAAAAACATCCTTTGATGACCAACGATCAATAAGAACAACATCTGATTTCTTATTTTCAGGATTTAATGCAGGCTACAAGAAACAAGGGAACTGGAACTAACTAACATAAAAAGGAAAAGGATTAAGTGTTTTGCCTACAGATCTTCAAGTTATGATCTGAGTGTTGCCTACAGAAATTTTTTTTAAATATTCACTATGGACATGATATTTTGTTTTATAACCAACAGTCTGCTAGTGTGAAAAAGCCTGATGCAATGGCATTATAATGTTATTAGAGACAAACCCTCAAGGGAAAAAGTTGAATACTTTGGGAATTAATATATTTAATCTCAAACTCATTAGTTAGCTTGAAATAATATCTTATTAAAAGAAGCTGAAATGTGGGAGTGGAATGTGCACTGAGATATATGATGGATATTGAAAAATAGTCCTCTTCATGTTCATTTTCTTTTGAGGATGAAGGACTATTTCAAAAAAAAGGTTACAAGGAGTATGGCAAAATTTTTATCTTTTTTAGGTAGATATTTGTACCCAAAGGTCTTTTAATAGATTGGTAATTTCTTCATATTAGTGCATGGGTTAATTTGGAAGTTAGCTAACGGTATCTCTGAACTGTGACAGTACAAAATTCCTTTGCTTTGGTAGCATAGTCATCTTTATTCTGGATAGCAGAGCAAAATAATCTTGGTTCCAGAGTGCTAGTGTAAATGGAAGTGTTCCAACAAACTTGCATGGAACAGTGTAAACGGTGTCTCAAGTTGCTAATATAGAGGGTATATAACCTCAAAAGCAACCTAGCAATCCCTTTCAATAAGGTATAGTTCTGAATGAGTTACAAACAATTGGAACTATTTACACAAGGCAAGGTTGTGCAAACACCAACTTTAAACACGTTAAAAAAGAAATAAATCTGCATTGCAAGGATAACCAAGTATAACATTAGATAAATTCTTTCCTGTTGCCTAGAGGACCTTTGCAGGTCTCATGGGAGTTTTCTTAGCTTTCTTATTTGGCATACAAATCAACCTTAACAAGAAATGTCAATCTAATCAGTAATTTATCTTATGTTCTCTCATTTGGTTCTTTAAAAGCATCAGCCAGTAATACTTGTGGAAGCCCCCGAAGTTGTATTCTAAATGTGAATTTGATAAGTAGACTATGTCAGGTCTATCTAGTGTTTCCATTTACCAATTCATAGAGTATATTATTTCAATCACTTGTGGGGAAGTCATGACGAGAAGGATGAGTTTTTAATCATCTTACTTTTGTGTCATGTTACCTTTTTCTAGGTCTTCAAGACAACCAAACAAGAGCAGACCAGAACAAAGTCAAGAGTCGGTCACACAGGTGAATGGTCTATTTTGACACCTACATCTACCAATTACTGCCCTCTACAAAGAAGATTTTGACAGGGTGACAGGCCATAGAAGGAGGTCATAAATATGTTTGCCAAAGAGAGTCAATTGAAAACTGTGTGATTAGAAACCAGGCCAAGGCAAGCCAATAGTCCCGTCCAGGTTTCTGGGTACCCATATATTACATGGTTTCTGGGATGGAGGAATTTCACACAAGCTTCAATTTTGCAAAGGTTGTTCACATTGTATTGAATTTTCACCCTGGCAGGCACAATTGAAAATTAGCAAAAATTGATAAGCTATTCACGATAAATAACGTTTCAGCAGATTTTATCAGTATTTATTAGCATTAGCATTAGTGTTAGCTGCTGAAACATTATTTATCATGAATAGGCTAATCAATTTTTACTTATTTTCAATTGTGTCTAACAGGGTGGAAAGGCAATACAATGTGAATAACTTTTGCAAATTTAGATAACCTAAGATTGTTGTGCCCAACTGCTGACTGAAATAAGATGTTTTACCTGCATTGAGATACCATCCACACGTGCAATACAATATCCATAGTCTGTTAAAGTAATATAAATCGGCAAACCAACGATAAAACCTGTTGCAAAAGACCTCCCATATCTCGTAACTACCTGCCAAACCATAATGACCATCACACTAGCAGAGCAGTATTTCTCAAGTTAATAGTAGGCCCTTTTTTACCCCAATCAGAGGCTGTGCCTCGTTACAACCAGTGATAGTAACCTAAAAAGCAGGGTTGCCAGTTTGGATTTTTTTAATCCAAATTCTAGAAATTTGGATTTATGAAAACGTGTTTGGCTTTCAAAATATGATTTGGATATGGCCAAAAATTTGGCTTATTTTGGATTTATATGAAAAATTCTCAAAATTTTTTGAGCATTTGAATTTTTAACAGATATTTCGGTTAACAGCTGTTTCAATTTAATTTGATAACACCTTTCAGGTTTCCTTTTTAAGGTAGAACATGATGTGTGAAGTGTCATAACATGTTTATCCCTGGTGCGATGTAATCATCGCCGACGAATTACGATATATGAAAACCAGCCTTTAGCATAGGGTTATTGTCCCTGTTTCTTGTTCTCTTGCAATCATGGCTAAATAGAAATCTTCGTACGAGGACCACGAGACAAATATTTATGGGTTAAACAAACTTTCGATGGATCACAAAACGCTTTTTGCAAGTTATGTCACCAAGCAATAATTAACATTAATTTGCAAAACCTTTAGATGCCTCGTTTTGATTTCTTCGCTTCTATTGTTCTAAAACCTCGTTTTCATATTTGGCTTAATTTGGATTTTTGACACACAAGATTTGGCTTTGGCCAATTTTGAGACCTGGCAACCCTGCTAAAAAGTGAAAAGCCGCGATGTAACTCAAAAATGGTGGTAAACTCAAAAATGAAGTAAAACTTTTCCCCTTACATCCATAGTAGTATATTCAATATAAAATTACCTATTTCTTCTCGCTATATTGAATTAAGTGTTTCATGAAAGTCTTTTTTAACATGAGTCAATTTTCTATAAAAATGTGAAAAATCAGCTCTATAATTAAGATTGAGAAACATTTCAATGCCATAGTTTAAACACTGAGGTTGAATTTTAGAATGTTCGATGTTGTAACTCATACATGCAGATTTACTTTTTTGCGAAGCAATTCATCAGTACACGTTATGTTCAGGGATGTAGTTGTAAAATTTTAATAAGGAGGGCTCTATGAGATTTCTAAGTTGTTCTTGTCATTGCAATTTGATAATTGAACATGACAGTGCCGTCGGAACGAAATTCATATTGGGGGGGGCTGCCCATTTTTTCCCTTCTCATTCAGTACACTGTTATAAAGGAAACATACTACAGTTTGACGATTATTTGGGGGGGGGGGCTCCAGCCCCCCGGTTCCGACGGGCCTGCATGAAGAGGGTTGGCGTTCTTTCCGATCATTGGTTGAGCAGCCAGGTATATTGCCTGTTTGAATGACAGCTAAAATAAGAACAACACCCATACTATGAGAAAGGCCAAGGAGAAACTTCATTGAACAATGGAAGTGAGGGGGTAAAGAGATTATATTGCACAGGGATCTAGTGAAAGCCGCCACCATGTTTGGCGGAGAGTAAAATTTTGAGAAATGACATTCTAAGGATGGCCAAAAAATAAATCTAAAATGTTTACAGCATCGATAAAGAAAAACTTTCTTTTTAATAATCATGACCCGTTGGTTGGATTTTGAATTTACACATTTTCTTTCCTGGGAATTTCATCAGCTAATGAACTGTACTTCTTAAAATGTCGAGTTGGGAAAAATTGTATTTTTCTTATAAAAAAGAGTGTAGTGCATCAAGTATTACAATTAGACAGGACAGAGTCAAATATAATAGCAACCGGTTGTTGATTCAGGCAATTAACCCCATTTCTAAATGCAACAATAAAAAGCAACTGTCTATGCGAAACTGCAACTAAAAAACCTTTTATAAGAATATAGTCTAAAGAATATTAGGCTCAAGATTACTGAAATCTAAGAATAATTCAAGAAGAATGCAAGGCTCAAGCTTCATCAAGAAATAAGTTTTTGTTTATTTGAGTTTTTTGAAGTTTCACGCAGTATGTGTTGAAATAATTATCAAATAAGAAATAAATATTATATAATACTATATTATATGAATAAGAAATAAATATAAAATTTTTTGCTTTGTAAATATAACATATTGTAAATTTGACAAGGGAAATAGAATTAAAATAATGTAAAAGAGAATCACAAATTGCGAGGGTAGGGTGGGTTAGAAGGGGCTGTGTAGCGCATTTTATCATGTTTAGATCTATTGTAATTATTTACTTTTTTCTATTTTATGTTAATATTTCTTTTAGTTTAAATGCATAGCCCCTTCTAAACCAGCATTGCTGAATGGGCTACCATGCTTAATTAATTGAAAATGATCTGAAATGAAATGAAATAGATTTATCCGGCCTTTGGAGTCATTTACACTATAATGCGAATCAGTTACATCTCATGTCGCTTAAGAATAATTTAAGAGCAATTTTAGCCCTAAAATAAAAAAATAGAGAATATGATACTCAGTAAGAAATCTTTCAATAATTTTTTTCTGTCTATATATGTGAAACTTTGTGTACATTTTCATGCATAGAAAGCTTAAATGCGTTTAAATCTGTCAGTTGCATTTCTTTTCTTTTTCTGGTTTAGTTGTCAATGGCTGACCTATGATGAACAGCTTTATTTGAATTACATCGTTCTTGGCTGTATCCAAGCCAAGCGATGAGGGGGGGGGGGCTGAGTTTCCCCACTTTTATCGAAAATTTTAACAAGTGGAGCTTCGCCCACCCCCCACCACTACATTCCTGGTTATGTTATGGTAAGGAATCAAGCATACTTTCGCCACTAATAAAATTGTTGGATGTATTTTCTACTGTGGCATTGAGATAAACATCTGTACCCTTTGGTGAAGATTTGTATGGCTTAGTGAACGGTTATTTTTTAAATAATTTATCGAAGAAAATTGGCCAAAACTGGCTTTATGCATGGGCTCCGACACAGGCTGGAAATTGGGGACCAAGGGAAAATTTAACACACACAACAATAGATTTTGTGAAAATTTCTATTGCTTTGCAAAAAAGTGGGGGTTGGGGGCCATGCCGCCCGGCCTCCCTTCGTTGGAGGCCCTGTTATGGCCAAAATGTAAGCAAACCATCTGATTGAAAAATTTCCCCTTGCTCACAGAATGAAAACGTCTGAATCAAAGACCAGGGTACATGAGAGATGGATACGGTAGATACGGTGACAAACTTCTATATTTGCTCAATATGTTTTTCAAAACGGAATTTATAGCGGGAGGTTGGGTTTCAAATCAGGAGAACGGGAAAAAACTCCCAAATCAGGAGAGTTGGAGCCTTTGGGTGTAACTAATACAGTTACCAGCTTTTCATTTGGTTTGGCAACCTTTTTAGGGCCCCCGGTTGTTCAACTTTTTATGATAAGTATGCGTCCTTAATCGTAAGAAAACGTTTTGATTTTCATACTATCCGAGACAACACCATAGTTGCCAAAGAAGGATGAGAATAATTTTGAATATAACTATTTATAATTATATTATAACTAGTCTTGAGCCCCTCTCCTTACCACGCTATTTTTCAAAGACATTTCTAGAAAATCGTAGCTAGTTTTCCATTATACATATTCTTAAGATGAACAGCAAAGTTACTTGCTTATATCAATTAATTAAAGAAATGTGTCATTAAATACACATAAATTATGAAAATTTGAGCATAAGTGCACAAAGCAGTTCTGCAAACACATTCACGTTAAAAACAGAAAGTTTTTTAAATATAATTTGATTTTTTAAATTTTTTGTCTGACTGTTATTTGAAAACCTAAGGGCAATTCTTCAGCTTGACCAAAATTCCAAATTTTTGGTCACCTGCTTCAGTTTATTTTTTATTTCTACAACCTTCCCCCTGGCCAGCCTGTTGTCAGGACACAGGGGCGTCGTGGCTAGTAACTCTTAGGGTTGGCACAGCTTGCAAATTTTCCCACAATGGGTTTTGATTAAAAATATGATGTCATCAAACGCATGCACAGTGTTTTTAAATTCAGCAACACATGAGAAACAATATGTATCTTCTGCAGCAAAACTTTTACTGATTTCTATAAGTCGGTTAGAGAAAAGCCAGAGTCCGTATTCGAACATTGGATAATCAAAATCATCAGAAATCAGTATCTGTGATGAACAGTAAAACTCGCTATAGTACTGATAATTAATATCTTGAGAATCTAAAGAAACGAAATGGACGACTTTCGGCGTATAAGAAGTGGAAATGGTGTGTCAGCAAACGTGCCGGTTACTTCATCATACATGAGTGTCAAATAAGTCAAGCTCAACATTTACCTAACCTCTCTTGGTCAATTGTTGACCACAACCTGTTTTTACACACTTACAAAAAGGTGCACTCGAATTTAATAATACCAATTGGCAAGCTTTGTGTACAAATGTACAGACTTGGATTGGCAGACTGAAAAATAAATAACCACGAGTTTTACTGTCTTCAAAAACTTTTTCTGTTTATATTTTCCTTTCCTTCTTATACTGATTAATTCCTTTGAACTTTCTTGGTTTCCTATGAACTACAAATACTCTTTTGCCGAACAAATACGAAACTTCCGACAAATAGCCAAATGGTGGAATAAGCACACGACACCCCTGTAGGGACAAAGTCTTGATATTGGGACTTATCGGGGTGGCTTGGAGTTTAAATAAAAAAGAAGTCCAATAACTGGATTTGCATAATGGCTTGGCCCGTTACTAAAAGGAAAGGGCCCATCACATTGACATTAATGCTGAAATTGTTTTTAGCGAAAAATTCGAAGTGGCAGTACAGTACCATGCTTTCTCGTACTTCAGCTTTTTGTGTCTTTTGAATGAACATTTTAAAATCTGTTATAATGTTTTCGTCGACCATATTATCATCGTTATTATCCAATTTTTTCCTTTCACCTGTCAGCAGTTTTGACGATTACATCCTCCCTAACTGGTCCAAAGGTTTTAAAATAGTTTCTTTCCTTTCCTGTATAATTTTGGATATTGATTAAATAGGTCTCGGATAACGTCTATGTTTCCGATGTTTTCTTATAACATGGTGTTGTTTCTAGTACTTGCCTTAAAGCCTTGTATAAAGTATATTTGGTTTATATTGACCTTCCGGGAGGGTGTGTTGGCC